AGCCACCACCTCTGAAGATCTTAAAACATGGACAGAAGGACATTTGGGGTTTTTATAGAATTCTTGGGAATAGCATTGTAAAAGTCCCCCCATAATATCATCCCTGTTATCAAGTAGCAAGGAAGCATTAGGTGAGTGCCTGCATTCCAGATAGTCTCTGAAGATCTCTTGCGGGGCCATTTCAGCTATAGCAGAATTGAAACGTTCTCCCCGTATATCATGTGTTCTAGTGAAGTTATATGTCAAGCGTTTCTTCTCCTTTTTAGAGAAGCACATCAAGAATTTCCTCCTTTTGTTTTGCATTTGGTCTCTCTGACTTCTTAAAGCATAGAAAAATTGCATAATGGAAACCAAGAAATAATTCTTCAAGAGAAGCACCTCGACTTCTTCGTGGTTCTAAAAAGAAATCTGCAGGCAAGAGGGACTTTTCTCTGTAATTATGAGTTGGGTGTCATTGGAAAGCCCTAGAAATCAATTCGAGACAAAGATAAGTCTCTTTAACATTGTATATGAACCCTGGTTGAGTTGAGTTTAGTGAGAGTAAATCTCAATAAAGACAGGGTTGCCAATATTTTTTAAAAAAAGTATACCTCGCTATTTTTTTATCCATCTTCTTGTCTTTTCATGTCATCATACATTTTCTTGTTTCTTACCACCCATGTAAGTAGATACGTATGCATTTTATAGGTGGTGCCCAACTCTCAGACAGTTCTGTATGGCTTACAATTTAGCATATAATGAATACTGAAAATGATAAAACACTTCAATAACACAATACAAAATAAACAAGATGGAAGTCCAGGCACACACCAGCAAATAAAATTTTGCAAAACACATGCCCAGAAGGGCTGCTACGTGACAAAGCATGAGTCTCTTGAACAATGTTTCTCAGCCATGGGGTTAGGACTTCGACCCCCAGAATTCCCCAGTCAACAAAGCTGGCTCGGGAATTGTGGGAGTCAAGGTCCACACCTCCTTTAAGCTAAGCCCAGTTAGGGATGAGAAGCACGGCTCTAGGCCCTGACTTCTCTGCAGCAATGGGTCACCTCTAAACTTCACAGGGATTTGTGGAAAATAAAAGCAGTGAATGGCTGCAATGCAGAATTTTTTGGGAACTCTGCTGGATTGTCTATCCCCTTCAAAATAAATGATAAATGGAAGATGGGCTGGCAGGACCCTATTAAGACTGAGATGTGCTGGATCTTCCATACCTGTCACGATGGGACTTTGTGGCAGGTGTAGCCCCCCTGGCCTTCCAATCCAACTATCCACATTTAACCCTGGCCTTCAAGAACTTTGATCTGGCCCTGCAGAGGGCTCAGAGGGCTCGAACTGGGTAGAGGCACTTAGAGACAGGAGAGAATATGTGCATAACGGCAGGCTGCAGGAGTGCGAGGCCGATTTAATCACATTACAAGATCTGTGCATATCAGAGGCGGGGAGGAAAATGTTGGCAACCAGCCTGCAAATCCTCACTGAAAAAAAGGTTCATGAATCCAGTCTGCTAAAATATTGGGGTGGGGTGGGGGGTGTATTTAAGTTTGGGAAGAAGCTGGTATCATAGTTTAAAAGAGCTGGCAGGTGTGTCCGCATCAAAGTTTAATCTCTGTTAATAATCTTTAAATTGTCAATCTGAAATGTACCCTCCTCCTTATAGATTCCTGGCTGGCTCTGGAAGCTGGAAGTGCAACTTCAGTATTTCCAGTTTGAGGGGCTCTTTTCCTCCCTTGTTTCTTTGACCTGCCAGATCTGATGCTATAAGAGTTCTCGGAATGGGATCTGCTTTGAGGTTTTCCTTTTTGGCACTTCCCCTCTGCTGCTCTGCAGTTGGAATTGACATTGTCAGATGTTCCCTAAAGAGCTCTTTGAAAGAGGCAAAAACTGAAATGGTGGCGTGTGAGATAGGATTACAAACACAGAAGCGTCTCTTGCGGTGACTGAACGTCTCCCTCCACCGCAGGCCTTCTCATCTGACATTTGCATTCATTGTGCTTCACAGATGATGATGTAATCCTGACTCCAGTCCTGCCAGTCTTGTTCGTACAGCAAAGTCGGGCCTGGAAATTCCACAATTTGTCAATTCCAATAATTTGCCTTTAGGTGCCATCGGGTATTGCAGCTTTCTCCAAACTGAACTCCTTTGCCCTCCAGGTGTGTTTCTAGTCCATCGGGAGAGGCCACAAAATAGCGGTTTTCAAGAAAGTCTAATATCCTGTCAGATCTTTTGTCTCTAATTTGGATCTGGTTTGTCTGAATGAGTCATGCACTTAGCTGGTTTCCTCTCCTTGGAGTTTTCTGTGGATATGGGGGCTCCAAATCCCAGAATTTTAAGCTAAGTTTTTCCAAACTGAAGCACAGTGAAGAACTTCAGTGATATTTGCAACCCAGATTGGTGCAGAATATTCCGGATTCTCTGCATCTTAATCACCCACTCCTACAAGTACGGTGCTTCTCTGTGGACTTGAAGGACTGATTCCGGGCCTTTAAGAACTTGCCAGCCCAGAAAAGCCTCAGCCAGAGCTGCATTGCATCTCGTGGCTGCTGCCCAAATTCACGGCAAACAATGGAATGTTCTGTTTCAAGGGCATCCAGAGCCAAGGGGATGATGGCTTCATGTAGTGGCTTCATGTAGTGGCCTCTTTCCATCTGCACTGCTGTCCCTTGCTGGCGTGTGAGGAAGAACCCCGATAACAAAGCCGACTTTCCTTTCTCTTTGCCCTGAAATAACCAGATTTAACAAGAGGGTGTGCGCGAGTGTAAGTCAAGAGCATTCATCTGCCTGCAATCTGCAGTGGGTACATGCTGTTCAGCCTCTCACCCAGCTGGGAAAACGCCACTAAAGTGTGAAAAGGATAATAGTCTTCTGGGTGTCATCCTGTGCCCACCTTTTGACATTTTTAAAACCGTCAGCCACTTCAACGAGTTCTAATTTTGCCTTTATTGAATGATGCCTCTTTTTGTTCAAAGTAAACTGAAGCTCCGAAGGTCATGCCTTGAATAACGAATTAATTAATATAGCGATGATCATGAGCAGACTTTGGACCCAATATTGAAAAAGACAATTAAGGGGCCGTAGTCCCTCCCCCTCTTCATCCTTTCTTTTTCAACAAGATTATGACTTTATTTCTTGGTATGATTATTTAAAAGCCAGTTTGTACCATAGTTGAAAGTTCCAGACTCTTTCACTTATGCACTACAGGTAGTTCTCAACTTAAGACTGTAATTGAACCCAGAATGATAGCTGTATGTCATATGTCATTAAGCGAGTGATCATATGACCACGCCCGATTTTGCAACTTTTTTTGCACGGATCATTGTCAATAGCACTTAGACATATACCGTTCACGGTGCTTTACAGCAGAGGTTGCCAACTGATGGTCCGCGGACCGCTGGTGGTCCATGAGAAAATTTTGGTGATCTGCAGCGCACCCCTGTCTGCAACAGGGGTGATACCGGCTGCGGATGGACTGATGCAGGTGGGGAGGGAGGGTAGCGCGCAGGAGATCACGGCATTGGAGCCCTTCCTGGGTGTTCCCTGGCCTGCGAGGGGAGGGCACGATCTCCTGTGCCTCTCTCCTCAGGAGCCGCAAAATCCTCGCTGCCCCTCTGGCAGCCGCGAAGCCTCCTCCCACCGCGCTTCTCTTCCTCCTCGCCAGAAGCACTCATGACCAGCAGGAAGGAGGAGAGTTGGCGGGTGCCAGAGGGGCAGCAAGCACTTTGAGGCTTCTGGGGGGAGGGTTTGAGCCTTCGCCTTGCAACATCTTCACCTGAGAGCATCGCTGCCAACCACTTCCTGCAGCTCAGGAGGTCTGCGCTCTTCCCGCTGCTGCTCGGCCTCCTCGATGCACAGAGGCCGGAGGCAGCAGCCATGACACAGGTTTGCTAGGAAGATTGCAGGATTGCCTCACCTTCCCGCCAGCCATCTGGTCTTCAGCACATGACTCGTCGGCCTCTGGACATCAGATTCCCACCACCCAGCACCAGTTCAGAGGTTTCTTCCCCCCCCAACCCCCGAGGACAGAGAGCAAGGGTTGAGAGAGAGAGAGACAAGACACACGCACACAGAGAGAGAAACGGAGAAAGAGAGAGAGGATAGGGAAAGAGAGAGACAAGACAGAGAGAGAAAGAGGGAGAAAGGGAGAGATAGGGAAAGAGAGAGAGAGACAAGACACAGAGAAAGAGAGACAGAGAGGGAAAGAGAGAGAAAGAGAGATAAGAGATCCCAGTGTTTCGTTTTCTGTGGGAAACAGGTCCAAATGCCTCGAAAGTATCTAAAGTTGCAGAAACAGGCAGCCAAGCTAAGTGCCTGAAGGACTCCATCCCATCAGTGGGAGTCCAGGCGCTTCAGCGAGCGGCATGCTGGATTCATATTAGTGGTGCGCGGGATTTAAAATTATGGATTTGGTGGTCCCTGAGGTCCAAAAGGTTGGACACCCTTGCTTTACAGCCCTGTCTAAGTGGTTTATAGAGTCAGCATATTACCCCCAACAATCTGGGTCATCACTTTACTGACCTCGGAAGGATGGAAGGTTGAATCAACCTTGAGCCCGTGGGACTAAAACTGCCAAACTGCTGACAGCCGGCAGTCAGCAGAAGTAGCCTGCAGTACTCCATTCTAACCACTGCACCACCACGGCTCATTTAAGTGAATTACTAGTTGTTTATTGAATCCATTGTCTACAATGGGCATTTTGTTTCCAGAAACCAAAAGTAAATGCCAGTTTCCAGATAAAAACATCATAAATTGCAGCCACATGACCATTCAATGTTGCAAAGAGCTGTAAATTCAGACCAGTAGCCAAACACCCAAAATGCCATCATATGACTTGGCAGAAGTTCAAATCCTAGTCATTAATGCCCCTGCAAATGTCAATCATAACCTCTAATGTTGCTAAGTGAATTATTGTAAGTTGAGGACTACTGTAGGAGGTTCTTGGAAGAGGGATCTTGCCCAGCAGCTCACAGCCACTCTCACAACCTTTTCCCTTGTACTTTCACAGGGCCAAGATGGGCCTCGTGGAACATTGGCGTCTTTATTTGCATCCGCTGTGCTGGAATACACCGGAACTTGGGAGTCCATATCTCCAGAGTAAAATCTGTCAATCTGGACCAATGGACACAAGAACAAATACAGGTCAGTATGGATTTTTGCCAGCAGCAAAAGAGAAAAGTTATAGGTGTGGGTGCAGCTCCAAAATTAGTGGAATGCTCTTCTGTCCTCAGATAAACATCCTGACATAGGACAATCTGAGTTGTAGAGAATCTAATTGTCAACGTTACATGCTCATTTTCTACCTTCAGAGATTCCTCATTCCTACAAAACCAATCTGGAGCAATCTGTACACATGTTTAACATTCTTCAAAAATTGTGTCTGATTTTCTCCTGGACAGTATCTGCAGTTTTCTTGTAAGGTTTTTCAGAAGTGGTGTTATCATTATGTCTTTCCTAGTCAGCGTTTACAGCTATGCTGTCTGGAAAATTCTGGGAGTTGAAGTCCACATATCTTGAGAAAGGTTGAGAAAAACTATTCCTGAGGCTGAGAGAAAATGCCTAGCCCTGGGTCACCCAGCTAGCTTTGTAAGATGGGACTAGAACTCATGACTTCCCATATTCTATGCCTTAATCATTATTACATTAAAATATTAAAAATAAAAATTAGCATTGTAATCTTATATACAATAGTAACCCCAGGATTTAATGTAAGTTGTTTGGAAAAAAAATTATTTTGTCCTCGCTGCCCCATTTCACCTATCCTGAGATATTTGGCTTCTCCATTTCTTATCTCATTTTCCCTCATTTATAATGACTAAGGAGACACATTCATGGGGCGCATAACGACCCCTTTCTTTCTTCACCTTCCTCTAAGGTTCAGAGAAATCGATTTAGAATAAGCTACACTCACTTCAGAATGCTAGATTAGACTAGTCATTTTATCAAATAAAATCACCATGATTGGTGAGGGAACGTAACTGCTTCTTCCAGTAGATCTCAATACGGTTTACTGCTGATCTAATAGAAACTGATAATGCATTTAACTACAAGTCATCATAACCCTTGATATCTGCAGGTTGGTGTCCAAACTCCATTCTATAAATATTCTGGCAGACAATAATATTAATCTACCTTCTCCCCTGATGCTTTGGTTGTCAGAGTTAAAAAAAAAAAAGTTTGCTTCCTGGAGTTAATTCATACAAATGAAAAAATTCAAGCGAAAGCCTAATTAATTATACAACATCACAGAGACTTTCTATTTTGTATTCCAGTGCATGCAAGAAATGGGAAATGGGAAAGCAAATCGCCTTTACGAAGGTTACCTGCCAGAGAACTTCAGACGACCCCAGACAGACCAGCATCCTTTCTCTGCCTGTTGTCCCCACAGGAAAATGGAGGCCTCAGCAGCACTGGAGGGAGTGTGGGAAGGGGATATCTCTATATCAGTCTCTGCATGAACCCTTTTAGACTCCACAGCCTTTTTTGGAATTTTGATGAGGTTTCCCTGTTAGTGAGCATCTTCTGGAAAACCAAGCCTCATAAATCAACCCTGACTAGAAGGTGCAGTATTCAGTGTCCTCCCTCTAGTCTAGACCCTCCTGGAGATATTGTGTTTTTTTGGCAACAATATGAATGGGAATTGCTGTTACCTTTACTAAGATGGGGTTTCTTCCCCCTCAGTTAAGTCAACACTGCTGGGATTTGCTGGAGATAACTTTTAAAACATTAAAAAGTTTTTTGTGGAACAAAACGATGACTCTAGATCCATGTTTCAAACTTGGCAACTTTGAGATGTTTGGGCTTCAACTCCCAGAATTCCCCAGCCAGGCTGGCTAGAGAATTCTGGGAGATGAAGTCCATACATCTTAATATTATGCAGTTTGGCTTCTGCTTCATATGGAGGCAGGTAACTCATAAAACCAGCAATATCTATGCTGACAGGAGCAATTTATCTGCTCATGGCCACAGATTGAAATCAACAATCCTAATCTATCCTATCCTATAATTTGTTGTCATGCTTTGCATATTATAAGCAAAACTACCATATTCTCTGGATTGGAGCACAACTGCAGATTTACCATTATCTGGGCTGCAAAATCCACAAAGACTGGTAGATGGCAGCAGATGCTTAAGAGTTTTCTATAACTTGTGCTACAATCTAATGATAGTCCAGCTTTTATATTTATCACAGTGGAAACAACTACATTCCCCCCAGTCCCTTGGCCAGTTCTGGTTAGTTTAACTTCAGCCTGATGGTTGCCTCCAAAATTATTGCAGCATCTAATTTGGTAGCAAAACTATCTGCTCTTGGTTTATTCATCCTTATCCAGTTTCCTCCCAGAGCAGTGGAGAGCTTTATCAGAGACAAATATGAAAAGAAGAAGTACATGGACAGAAGTCTCGACATCAACACGTTACGGGTTGGTTGGTTCTAAATGCATAAATGCTTTTGCTTTTTTGGTTCTGTCCAGTATTTTGACTGGCAGGAGCTGTCATAAGATGGGGTGAACAATTTTATTCTAGATGGGGTGAACAATTTTATTCTGTGAAGGATCCCAAGGTTGTGTGGGAGGGGATATAGGAATATAGGAAATATATAGGAATAGTGAATGGGGCAGAGCCCATAATAGGTAAAAATACCCATAATCTCTCTGACACTCTGTTTTGTCATCCTCTTCTTTGAATCTGATATGATCTTCATTTTCTTCTAAGAAGGATGCTGTGGAAAAAATAAATATGAATTGCTTACTGTACAGAGATGAAACAAATTAGACTGAAGGGGTCAAAAAACGAGCTCATTAGATGGGCAGAGAGACAGACAGATAGTTCTGCCAGGTTAATGAAAGGCCTGGCAATGCATTTTCATGAGATTTGGCTGGTTTTAACTTTGATCATTGTTGAGAGGAGGAGTTTAGCATATTGTGAAATTAATTTGGTTAATTTAGGGTTTAGGGCAGTGTTTCTCAACCCTAGCAACTTTAAGATCTGTGGACTTCAGTTCCCAGAATTCTGGGAGATAAAGTCCATGTATTTTAAAATTTGCGGTGGAGCTGGGCTGGGGCGACGGCTGCTGTGCCAGCAGAGAGGGCTCTGCATGCCACTTGTGGCACATGTGCCCATAGGTTCACCATCACGGTACTGTATGGGCCAATCCAAATTAAAAGAGTTGTGCAAACAACATTGTTGGGTTGGGAGAAAGGAAGTGTTTTGCATTGACAGTCCCATGAAGTTCAGCAGGGGAAGTTTCCCTTTGACCTAGAAAGAAAATTATTCCGATGAATTAATTGGCTTGCCTTCTCACCATTCTGAGTGTTTTTGTTCATAGAGAGAAAAGGATGAAAAATGGAAGAAGGAAGCGGCCATTGGGAAAAATGTGGAGCCAGTTATCTTTGAGAAAGTCAGAATGGTAAGGTGGCTATGGTTATTTCTGGCTACTTTCTGGTGTCTTGTGGGGAGGAAGGGAGCTTGAGGTAGTCAATGAGAGATTTGCCTTTGAGTAATAGACTGAGATGAGATGAGATGCACCCCTCCTGCATCCGTTTCATTTGGCAGGTGGGAAGAAATTCAGGTAAATTTTATTACTGGCCCTCGGTAGCTACTTATCTAGCAGATTTGATTTTGTGAATTACATAGTGGAACCTCTCACGTATTTGCCACCTGCTGACTGTTGCAGAGAAACTAGGCTGGGAGATTCATTCTGTGAATGAAAGCATCAGGAGGCTAATTCTTATCCAGATGTCAGGGAGCTTCAGGGCGGGTTTGTGCAGATGCTACAAACTTTATGCCCCTCAATGCTAACAATTGTCAACTGCATGAGTTGTCAACATCCACAGAATAATCTAGGGCAATGTTTCTGAAACTTGGCAGCTTGAAGATGGATGAACTTCAACTCCCACAAGTCCCTGGTTCCACATGTGCTGGCAGGACAATTCTGGGGATCGAAGTCCATCTATCTTCAAGTTACCAAGATTGAGAAATGCTTATCTTAGAGCAAGGGTCCCCAAACTTGGCAACTTTAAGACTTGTGGACATAGCTGGCTGGAGGATTCTGGGAATTGAAGTCCACAAGTCTTAAAGTTGCCAAGTTTGGAGACCTGTCTTAGAGAGACAAAGCCCAACCGCCTTAGTTGGCTGGCTGAAACATTGGGATGGGCTTTCAAATCCATGAGCATTTCTGGAACATTTTCTGAAGATACAAAGATGGGAAAACTGCTCTTTTTTTCCTGGAGAATGCATCATTTTGGTGGTTTCTGCTTCCTTCAGCCTCAGAAGAAAGAGGATCCTCAAACTACAAAAAGTCTTTCCAGACCCTCAGAGCCAGTCATAGACCTGCTGGGACTTGGTAAGAGCAGTGCTGACACCTTTCTGTCTTTTGTAAATGTTTGTTGCCTTGTTGCTAAATAAATAGTAAGCAGGCCTTTTCCCATCCGGAGGAGGAGAGCTGTGAAGAGTTGAAGACCCAAAATACTGGCTGTGATTTCACTATTTCCTGCTAAATCAGTTATTTGTGTTTCTTGAATATGGAGGTTTATCATGGAGGTCATTTATAACAAATAGTTGTTTGTTGTGTAGGAAGATCTTTTCAGTTATGATAGATGCAGGGAAATATTGAGCCTAATTTTGTATTGGAAGGGCAAAGAGTCCCAGAGGTACACGGAGTCCTCAACTTAACAATCATGATTAAACCTGGAATTCACAGTTGTAAGTTGTTGTCGTCTTTAAGCAGGTCACAACAGGTGCCTAGGTTTATGACCTTTTTTGCAATGGTCATTAAGTGAATATGGTGTTTGTTAACTGAATCTGTTTTATCCAATGAGAGATTTTTGCCAGAACCAGAAGTAAACACCAGAAAATAAAACAAAACACCGTCATGTATGCTGCAGATGGTCATAAAGGCAAGCTGGCTGCAGAGTACCCAAAATGCAGTGACGTGACCAAGACGGTGTGCGGCCATTGTAACATTGAAATTGGGTCGCAGGTATCCTTTGGGGGAGTCCACTGTAACTTTGAATGGTCACTAAGCCACTGGTGGTTAAATGAGGCCTACCTGTACTCCTGCCAACATCCCAGAATGCTTTGCATTAAGCTGGTATGCCATGGTTTGGCCCAGTGGTTTCTTCAGCTAGTGGATCAGGTTAGTCCAAGTTTGCAGCTTAAAATGATCGGGCAGATAGATTTTCAGAACCAGACACGGAGTCCTTTTTTAATGTATTGGAAGGACAAGGAGGCCCAGAGCAATAAGTAGTCCTCAACTTAACAATCATAATTAAACCTGGAATTCACAGTTGTTGCCACCAGTCCCACTGAAAATACAGTACTGTAACATTTCCAAAACAAAAAACATTGCAAATAGCTGTCCTGAATTTCCTAACCTAAAGTTGCATAACACACCAGTGGCAGAAGATACACATGGGCTGGAAAGGTTTTCAGTTCCTCTTTCATCACAAGGCAGCTTGTCAACAGTTGCATTCGGAGGGCTGAGCCAATCAGCATTTCCTGTGCAAAAGAAATACGGTGAAAAATTGAGGCTAAAAAGTGGAACTAGGCCACCAGCGTGATTGCCGTTAAAAGGCCAGCAACAGCTCAGCTAGTATGAAAAGGGCAGGCGTAGGGGATAATCTGTACATTATAGCCGGGTTCTGCATATAAAACCGAAAACGAGGAAATTCCACCCCAAGCGTCAGGGCACAGCCGTACACGTGTGATGTTGATAGTGGTTTGGCTTTCTAGGAATCTTGTCTTTTCCACCAAAGTCAAAGCAGCTTTCCAGGTGTGATGGGGATGGCTACCAAGTCATACTTGTATGATATGATGAAATCTCAAAAACAGGACTTGTGGCTGAATAAGAATTCAGGGGGAGAATGATGAGATTTCCTACTACTCTGTGCAGCTTCTTGTCCTTCACACCAGTAACGCAAGCAAAGAAATGCAAAACAGAAGAAGAGCATAGCAATTTATACAGCTTGAAGAGAATCAGGGCGACGTATCAGCAATAGAATGCATACAACCCGCTGTTGGGGTTGAGGAGAAAAGCAGAACTGCAACGTGAAACGTTAGGTTTTTCTGTGCTGCCCAGATATACCATAGAAGCTACGTGTCGATTTCCACAAGATTTGGGGACCATCCAACATAGAAGGCCAAGGCATCCATCCTGTGATGGGATGTGCAACTGGAGAAAAGATTGGAAGGGGTGGTGGGGAGAGGGAATCTTGGAAATCACACCACAGTTTTCAGGAAGAAGGCAGCACATTCCAGAGAGAGGCCCAAGAGAGCAGAACTGGATGGTGTGGGGAGGAAAAGGTTCAACGTAGCTAAAGCCTAGAATCTCCCAGGGTATATTTATCTAGTTAGAAGGTTACAGCTTTAGTCTGACAAGATTCCGTCTATTAGAGCCGTGGGGTGGCACAGTTGTTAGAATGCAGTATAGCAGGTTAACTCACGACTCACTTCAGGAATTCAATCCCGATCGGCTCAAGGTTGACTCAGCCTTCCATCCTTCCAAAGTCGGTAAAATAAGGACCCAGGTTGTTAGGAGCAATATGCTGACGCTCTAAACCACTTAGAGAGGGCTGTAAAGCACTGTGAAGCGGTATACAAGTCTAAGTGATATTGCTATTAAGTATAAGCAGACAAAGAATTGTACTTGATTTGGACCTCACAGTGTCCTCTTTGGGCTTATTGAATTTAGCCTTTGACTCTGGGTGTGGAAATCCAACTCATTGAAGGGTACTAATTTGGGGAAGGCGATCCCTTGGGTGATCTAAGGAAGCCAGCTGATACCACCTCCCCCCTTTTCTCCCAGATGTTCCTGTTTCGAGTGCCCTCCCCAATGGAAGAGCCAGCAGTTGTTTGGAGAAAGACTTGGACCTATTTGGATCCCTGGGTACTGAGAGAAAGGTGAGAAACTTATATTATTGATGGGAGACCTTGAGCCAGAACCTTACTCTCATCCCAACCTATCTCACAGGAATATTCTGGGGAAAATAGGTCTAAAACTACACTTGGATGTAAACACAGGCATGATTTAAAAAAAAAAAAAGTAGAGTTCTAAATTTTAATTGAAATGTTCAGTAATGTGTAAGTCATGCTTAATCAGTCAATGAGATCTTCATTACACATTAGATTCAACAGCCACATTTACAGATAATTGTGTAAAATAGGTCAGTATGAAGAAGATACATCGTATTTTTTGGAGTATAAGACTCTCCAAAGTGTAAGGCGCTTTTGGGGAGGAAAACAAGAAAAAAAAATCTGCCTTTGCCCTCCTTGCAGCAAACAGCCTGTTTCAACTTCAGCACAGCCTGATTAGCACAAGTAGCTGATTGTCGGTTGGATTGGCCTCCAGACGATCAGCTGTTTCTAGCTGCAGGGATTGCCATCGCCTGTTGCCACCTCCACTGCCCCATTTTCACCCCCCCATTTTCACCCCATTCCAGGAGATGGGATTGGAATGGGTGGAAAATGTAGTGTGCGGAGGCCGGAAATGGGGCGCACAGAGGTAGCAATAGGCTATGGCAATCCCTGAAGCCTGAAACAGCTGATCGTCGGGAGGCCAGCTGCTAATCAGGTTGTGCTGAAGCTGACCAGGCTGTTTGTTGTTAGCTGCAAGGAGGCAAATTGCTGGGAGGAAGAGGCCAAAAGGTGGGGGCCAGTGTGTGGGCGGGGCTTCGGCAACATTCACTGTATAAGGCGCAAAGACATTTCCACCCAATTTTGGGGGTGGAAAAAGTGCGTCTTATACTCCGAAAAATATGGTACGTCTTAATTTTTGTTTTAGCAAGATGTGAACCATTCATTATTTACTGTGACTGTAGAGAGTTCCCAGATCAATCTTCACTATTTTTCCTTCTTGATCCCATGAGCCTGTGCTTATCTGTCTCTGATTGAGTTGGTTCATATTGACTTGGCTTTATCTCTCATTGAGGGTCAGGAGATAAGATACTGCCTCTTTTGCGGAATCCTTCTAAGGTGGTAAATTAGTTTATGCAATACTTTGAAAAATGGAAAACCTGAACTAGAACCTTTAAGAAAAATGCTGTGTCAGTTCTCTGGCCTCCATCTTGGGAAATAAGTACAGTATATTCTCTCACCAGGTTGTTGGCTCAATGCCCACAGCTGGAAGTGCTGGATCTGTTCCTGAAAAGCTGAACCTGTTCCCTGAGCCCGACAGCAAGGCTGAAGAGACGGGGAAGAAGCAGCTCTCCAAGGATTCCATCCTCTCTTTATATGGCTCCCATACCCCACAGATCCCCGCACAAGGTATGCACCCTACCTGTTGTGAGAGACGCACCTGTTGGGCTTTCAATACTCAAGCATAGATTCATAATACACTCATTGCTTTATAAGTAAGATGTTGGTAACATAAAGTTGTATTATATGGAGCAATAGGCGAGTAGCCATTCCAGGTTAGAAGATTGCCAATGAGGTCTGCTGGAAATATCAATAGCACATACTACCCCACAGTGCTTTACAGCACCCTCTGAGCACTTTACAGAGTCAGCCTCTTGACCCCAACAATCTGGGTCCTGATTTGACCCACCTCGGAAGGATGGAAGGCTAAGTCAACTCGAACCCTGTCAAGATCAAACTCCAGGCTGTGGATAGAGATTACCTGAAATACTGCATTCTAACCACGGCACCACCATGGCTTCCCAGATATAAAGCTCATTAAGTATTGGGGCTGTTCCATATTCAATTTATAGGTTCCCACTTCTATGATAGTCCTCAACTTACAAGCATTTGTTTAGTGACCCATTCAAAGTTACAGTGGCATTGAAAAGTTACTTACCAATGGTCCTCACACAATTGTTGCAGCGTTCCAAGGGTCACATGATCAAAATTCAGGCCCTTGGCAATAGGCCCTTGTGTTCATAATGGTTGCAATATCCCAATAGTCACATGATCACCATTTCTGACCTTCCCAGCTGGCAACATGCAGAGTCAATTGTGGGAAAGATGGATTTCCTTAATAGCCGCAGGATTCACTTCACAACCATGGCAAAAAATATTATGTAAAACTGGGCACGACAATGGAAACAATTGTGATCATAAGTCAAGAACAACCCATATCTGTAGGACAAGGTACCAGGCTTTGACAGGCAGATTTCTGTATTCTCCCTTCACTGTATCCCTTCACTGTCCTCCCTGGTTCAGATCAATTTCACTGCAAAATAACAGGTGGATTTTACTGGAAAGGTCTATAATGAGGGTCATAGGGTGCTCTTGTCACACTCATTCCATCAAGTGACTGGCCCAGAGGAACAGAATGAATGAAGGTGAGCAACTGATAATCTCATGATGGGTTCCATGCTCACATAAGGGGCTTGTCACACTCCACTCCTGCCTCCATCCCTACAGGCCTTCTTCCCCTTTCCAAACTCTACCTCTCACATCCTCCCTTCCCAAGCACTTCCCTGGGTCGGAATCTGGAATGCTTCATCCCTCTCTGTCTGGTCTCTTTTCCTAAGTTCAGCCCCAACTGCTACGGGAGGGAAAGGCCTCTCCTCTGTTACCCCCCACAACGACGTTTCTAAGTTCTTCTCAATGAGACACATACAGTAGAATTAAGAGATCTTTCATTTGCCTCTCTCCCTTCTTGAAATCCCTGCAGGGGCTGTGTTCCTAGCGCCTACTCAAATGGGCTATCCGGCCGCCTTTCCCAATTTCCCAGGCATAGCACCACCTAGTGGCATGATGGCACCACCTGTGGGGGTGATGGCGCAGCCAGGAGCGGCAGCAGGCGTGGCAGCACCTATGGCGATCCCAGCAGGTTATGTAGGCGGCATGCAGACTGCAGTAATTGGGGTCCCCAATGGGATGATGGCAACGCAACAAGCTGGGTACATGCCTGGCATGACACCTGTCCCACCACCAGTGTATGTTGTACAACCAGCTCACCAATTACAATGGAACCTTGCTCAGGTAAGAGCCAACAGTGAGAACTCAGGTGTGTGTCTGAGTGAGGGCTTTTTCAAATTTGGGGGGCAGGGGAAAATGTGCATTTACAGATTACAGGTAGACAATCTTATGCCTTCCAATTCTCACCTGGCTGGGCAGTTGAACTTGAGCATATGGGTAGCGATAACTGAAAAAACAGTGGTATCAAGTTGTTAGTCCTAATGTCCATGTTTTTTAGCTTAGCCTTTTTCTCAAAAGATTTTGAGGCCATAGTCACAATAAAGAGTGAAGGTGATAGATACTGAATGAATAGCAACAACCATAAAAACTCTTTCCAAAATTCTTTATAAGCCACTATGACACTCATTTGATGAAAAGATGAAATATTTTCTGAATTCCTATCATGCTTATATTCTCTGTATCAGCAGTTTTTCATGATGTAGCCCATAAATTAACTCAAATAATAGAAATAGAAAAATATAGTATTCTTCCACTTCAAAAACCTCCCTGTAGAGGAGGAGATATGCAGATGGGCTTAATTTTAATATGATGCCTAGAGGCATCAGTATTTCCATAGACCTCTTCTCTGATGTCCTCTACATTTTACATCCTTAGAGCTACTTTCTTTAGTGGCAACCACAGAACATAAAACCTGCATTACTGTTATGGCTTCGTAAGCTACCTGAATTATTTAGTCAGCTGGAAAATCCATTGTTTTTTACAGCAAGTTCCTGGGTTAATAGAAGCCCAATTTAAGGATGACCCATAGTTAAGAACAGAGCCTATTGTAGCAAAATTTGAATTAAATACACTGTAGTTCAAGTTAAATACACAATGGTTCAAGTTCATAACACTGATTTATTTCATTACACAATATTACTTACACGGTATTATATAATAATACTGTTGTGGTTTACATACAAATTTGACTCAAGGACAGAGCTTAGGAACGGAATTGGTTCTTTAATCATCTTAATATGTATAGTTATAACCCTAATCCTAAGTACCCTAAGCCAAACTCCAATCAAATATCAGTATTTCCAACAAGTGCATAAGGCCCAGTTCATTCCCCAAAAGAGCAATTCAAACCTCACTGGGATGTGAGGAAACTCTAGTTTCCTGGTAAATAGATGAACTGGCTGAAAATGTTATGTGAATCTGACAAAGCAGCACATGAAGTCAGTGCTTCCTATAATGGACATGTGGATGATTTGGATTAATTAGGATTCATTATATATATATATATTTTCAAATCTTTTCCCACCTCAATTCTTTGTGGGAAGGGAAAATGTTTTTTTTCTGCACATGCCTGGCTTTCTTTCCAGTTTACCCTTTTTTAAAGAAAACTTCTACGTCTCTCAACGTAAGCCTTGATACTAACTTCATTCTTGAATCCTGATTCTCAGTCCTTCTAGCATCTCACGCCTTGTAGACGTGTTTGGTTTCAGCTCCCATTAATCATAGCCAGCCAAGTTCTTCAGCACTGTTTTACGCCTCTTGTTGGCAGGGATTACCTCCACGGTAGTTTTCAACACTTAGGTAGATTTATTTTTTTTTAAAAAAAAAAAACCAAGCTTTTTCCTCCCATAACAATTGTGCTATACCGATCAAGGATAAGAACATGAGGTATTTTCAAGCTTCTAAGCACCATAAATGGTCACCAGGTGGATAATCAACCCCAGTTCCGTGAGGGCGTGAAAGGTGTCACTTGCTATTAGAAAGCAACTGAAAAACTCCTCTGCAGCAGGGAATCTTGAGCGATGACCTGACCTCTCCTTGCTTTCTCTTTCAGGTGACACAGCAAATGGCAGGGATGAACTTTGGTGGCACCAACGGGGTGATGCGCTATGGACAGTCAATGGGCAGAGGGGGTGCCCCAGGAACCAATCAAGCTCTCAGTTCCCAGGTTTGGAAATAACACCCCCTGGACCTGGACTATTTTCTCGTTTATTTTTAGCTTCGGCTCTCTTGGTTATGTTTTCCCAGTTCTGTATTAAGCATCAGTTATTCCCTGATGTTATGTTTTTACTTACCGTGCTGAATGAGTCTCGGATGGATATTCCTCTTGTGAACAGAGACCTACTCTGCCAATTTCCCACCTCGTGTTCAAAACGCTGACTTGGCTCACCTTGTCCCTAGGCGAGCATTTTGGTTTTTTTTTTTAGCAGGGTGGAACGAGAGATGACAGGTGGCCGTTCTGGTAGATATAACCCTCATTCCAAAGCCTGTTCTGGGATTGCAGAAGGCGTGGTCATGATGGCTGAATGTGACCTTTGCCTCTTTAGTTGTGACTTCACCTCAAGGCACTTTGTATTTTAGGATTTTGGCACCAAATACTCTTTTTTTATTCCAATACATTCCATGATTTTTGTGGCGTTTTCCAAAACTACTTCATGAGCTTGAAACGCGTTATACCTGGAGAGGAATCCCATCAGCCCTCAAGCACAAATCATGCTTCTTTTCTGAAAGTGAGTTGGGAGGAAACGTACCTCTTAAAAGCAGCTGCTGCTCATTTAGTCCTGGCATATTTAAATGCTTTTTTTTTTCCCTTTCTTTCTCCTTATTTTAACCTCTGGAAGATCTAGCCTAGCATTTCTCAATCTTCGCTACTTTAAAATGTGTGAATTTCAACTCCCAGAATTCCAGTGCTTGCTGGAGGAGTCTGAGAGTTGAAGTCCATATCTTGAAGCTCCTAAGGTTCAGAAACACTCCCTTAACTGATAAAGGTCCAGGACTCTGGCAAATTTTCCCTTGTGTAACTCCCACAAGCACTCAAAACTTGCCTGCATGATGACTTTTATCAGAGGGAGAAAACTTTCCGAGATGGGGCCTATCTCCCGTCTGAGTCATTTCACACAGACAGTGATCACCCAGTTCACAATTTTGAAAGGTTTTGTAGCACAAATAAAAGCCAGGCACCCACTTTATCTTGTGTATATGTAAATTCGTTAATAAAACGCTGCAGTGCAACTCTTGCCGCCTTTGTCCTCGCATTAAATGTTCATGTTAAAACAAATGGAGAAACCTTTTTTCCTCAAATGTATTGAAAGGCTTACAGTGAATACTGTTTGGTTTTAACGTATTGCGACGGACCTAATCTACTCTGTTGTTTGCAATGCTACATCTCTGAATCTCTAACTGCTGGATTTATCTGCCAGATAAAACTTAGGAACCGCAAGATTCAAAGACATGGCACCAAGTGATCCATCTCCACTACTCTATGCTAGTAAATCCTTTTGCTGCTATGGAAAATCGGGGCATCGTATGAGGAAAAAAACACGAGGTCTCTCAGTAATAAAGTGGCATAATCTTCTACGATCATCGTATCTCCTGGGTTAAACTGATAACATTAAATTTGTATGTCCCCTATCACTCTACAATTGTACAAAAATACGAGAAACCTAGAATGGGATACTGAATTATAAAGATTATAGAGGCGTGTTAATCACATTTATTTGCCTTGTTAAAAATGGCCGGTATACTGTATGTCTCAGACCGAAATGGTACAAAAGAGGAATATGTTCCTATGGTAAAGGCTGGCAATGCTAATTCTTCATTTATATACCTGATGCATTATCTCTTCTCATAGTTTCCCAGGTTTTATTTCATGTAAGTTAAGTTTAGAAAAACCATGTTTACATTACTCTTGCATTCTGATTATATATTTTCCAGATCATATCTGGCCGGTATGCCTAAACACCATTTTTCTCCACAAATTTCCACTAACCCATCTCCTGCATTATTGTATTTACTCAATACATTTTTTTTTGCAATTCCAAGTTCATCGTTTCCTTTGAATGCTTGCATTCCAAATACTGATCAATTTTATAGAAAATTCTTCAGTGTCATCTTCCATTGAATGTGTAGTAGCTGCACAACTGTTTTCTGGATATCCACTCATCCTAATAGACAGAATCCTGTTTATTGAACTGCAGCTGGGCACATACTGGGCAATATCCTTTTTGAGTATAATTGCCACTCCATTTCTTTCAAAAGTGGCAAAGTGACCATCTACATTTATTCACTAAGATATCCAGTTTGGTTCATTTCATTCCTACCATGTTTATTTCAGCTTTTCCCCCATTGATACTTCTCACACCCACCTTCCAAGTGCAAAACAACGTCTCAGGAATAGCACCATCAGTGATCAGGCTTTGCTGCAGCTTTAAGCTGGCCCTCTGAGTCTGATTTATTTATCAAAATATATAACATTTTTCCATAGTAATGAGTACCTTTTGAAGTGGAGGTTTCACAAATAGTTTTAAATGTTTGACATAGCCATACAGTTCTCCTAGCAAAAGGAACTGGTTTTGCAGTACTTTCTGGATTTCATTTTGCAGTTCCTTCTAAGTGAGTTGGTTTCCTCTCATGCCTACATAGCTCTACCTGCCTCCATTCCCTTTGATCTTACCAGCAAGGAGGGCATACCAAGAATATATGCGACAGCAATATTATCAGGATCATTTTTCCCAATACCCTTAGGTGACCTCCCCGCTCCATTGTTTCAAGTTGCCAATTGGCTTCTAGAGATTATTCAAGATGCTGATTGTCAATGTTAAGGCCTCCTATGACTCTAGACTTGAGGCCCTGCCTTTTGTATTTATCTGCCCAACCAGATCAAATTCCCTACAGATCCCGTCTCTTTGAGATTGCCAACCGATGAGACTTTCAGAACCAGGTGCCTCTTATTTTTGGAGCTTTCTACCAGGGGACATTTGATTCACTTCATCCTTGAAGTAGAGGGAAATGGTGAACTGAAGGTGAAGTTCATGGTGCCTAGCTTTTGTATGGTTGATGTTTATCCTTTGGTATTATGTCTGTTTTTATATGTATTTTGAGTCTTGGGTATGTTGACACTGCTGGACACCCAGAGTCTCTTGGAATGGGTGGCATGTAGGGATAGGAAAATTAACTGAGCATAAGCATACACACACACACACACACAACAGTCCCACAGGGCTATTTTAAGAGTAGTTTTATTCATATTGCCCAAGGTTTCTCAACCTAATCTGCTTTAAGATGTGCGGACTTCAGCTCCCAGTATTCCCCAGCCAACATGCTGTCTGGGGAATTCTGAGAGTTGAAGTCCACGCATCTTAAAGTGGATGAGATTGAGAATCACCGATGTAACCCGAAGAAATGCGCCCCCTGTGTTAAAGTCATTTAAAAATACAATGTACCCAGGAGGAGACCAGAGTGCCAAATGCAGCTCTGTGAGAAACACAGCTATCTCTGAAAATTAAGTTAAAATTTCTGGACCTTGCAGCTGCGGCAAATCCATAGTCAAGATCTCTTGACATTTCAAACCTTCCACAAGCTTCCAAATATACTTTTAGTGGTTAGAGAAGGAACTTGAGTGTCCTGGGTAATAAAACGTTCTCCCTGTGTTCAGAGGAATGATGCAAACAAGATACAGTCATATCACAAGTACACATACACACAACAAACTCAGTTATAGTACACTTACGTGTTGTGTATGTGTGCACGAAACATCACTGATTAAAAACTGGTGACGGTAATACTTATCTGAAAACAATGAAAACAGTTTTCAAAACTGGCTTTAATTATCTTTACTTGCTGTCCAAATACTGTACATGCAGTTAACAAGCCAAATGGAGTAACATTAACTTTTTTTTTTTTTTTTGGAAAATCCATCTTGTCTCCTTTGGAAAGAGGGGAAAAAAATCTTGTCAAGAATAATTTACAAAATTGAGCGTGCACCCTCAAAGCTGTCAGTCCTGCTGCATATATAAATTCACAGAAAAATACAAGAGTTTTACATTTAGGAAAGACCACATCACATAGAAAACGTTACAGAGCACGGATATAAAATTGTCTGTGTGTGTGTGTGTGTGTGTTGGTCCATTAGTAACTGTTCTCTCCACTGCCCATTACAAGACATCCCCTTGTGCTCAATGTGACTGGAGGTTTTTAAATTCTTATTCTGATCCCCATTCATATTTCTCTCAGAAACTCTGCTATTTAAGACCAAGGCCATGCTATAATTTTGGGAGCCAAGTAAGAAGGCAGGCTAACAAAATAATTGGTTGGCTTTGGACAACCTTAGCTATGCTTTGATCAAACTTACCACAATCCCTACTGTAATTACTGTTTCTGTAGGATTACTTCATCCCTTGCCATATTTTTCTGTGGAGCCCTTGGTGGTCTCTGAGCTTGGTGGTTTTCTTGTGGACGTTCTATTATCTGACTAGGTAGCATATTCAGTTAACAACACTGAAGATGTTACCTAGTTGGATAAATTAAATATATGAAAGAAAACAACTAAATTCAACGATCACTAAGGACTCCACAGTTCAACCCTGAGCTACAAATATGTTGATATTCCTCGGCATAACAAGATCCCTGATTACTCTGTTCATAGAGAGGAACACAGAGATTGTTAGTTTAGTTAGAATTTGCTTCTAAATAAAATTGGGTCAGGTGGACAGCATATTTAGGGGGCCTCATCTATCCCCATTACTAGAACAAGCCTTGAAGATAACATAGCAGCTAGAGCTACTTCAGGAATCTACAATGGGGCCATCTATCTTGCCTGCCACTTTCTCAAACTCAGCTCAAGAATGCTGGTTTTAACCCAAGAAGCCATAATGAATGTGTCTTTACTATGTGAGAAAATCTCCTTTCCTATGACAGACCACCCAGATTGTGGAAATTCTCAATCATCCAAGGTCATGGTTGTTCCAAGGGTGCTTTTCCAAAAGGCAACTGGGCTTTCTTGATCTTTTTTTTTCTTTGAAAATGTTTAGCTTCTCATCCAAGAAGCTACTTAGAACCAAAGAAGCTTCTTGGATGGGAGACAAAACATTTTCAAAGAAAAAAAATACAAGAAAGCCCAGTTGCCTTTTGGGAAAACACCTGTGGGGTAGCCACCCAGATTTTAAGTCTTACTAGCAAAGACCCCACAAGTCTTGCATTAAATCTAAATCTTGCCACTCTACATGGTTTCCTTTTCACAATCCTTTTAGAAAAAAAATATTTGTACTATAGTTTCAAGGAGTTCTACGGATCATGTTGTTTTTCCAAAGCCAGTCCTTCCATTGATGTTACTTAACTGATGTTTTAAAAACTACTGTCTGGTCTAATTTGTATTCGGTATCATTTGGGGCCTTCTGTTCTGAATGACTGCTATAAAGATGTACTTTCAGTGTGTAAATGAAAACATTCCCTTTCAGCCAACCTTAGCTGAAGTGTTCGATTCCTCCTGTCAGGTAGGTCTTTTTAAAAGAGGACAATGAACTTAAGCTTCCAGGTCAAGTTTAAATTACTATCAATATTTTTGTTTTATTCCATAAAGCTTTTGCTTGCTGCCTTATCAACCGTGTTTTTAGGAGAAAGGCTAGATATAAATTACCCCAATAAATAAATACAAATACACCTTAAGCCCCTACTGAGGTTCAGTTTCAGAATGGCTCCAGGCCAAACAAAATTTAGAGGTAGCATTGCCTCCAGTTTCTAGTGACCGTCTCTGGGGAGTAATTCCACAATGTCACAGTGAACAATAAGCTGCTTTGATCAACATTCTTTTCTGGGGAAAGGAGGACATTGGAAGAACTAATTGGTGGGGAGAAGAAAGTTATCCATCATTAACATGAAAACACATAAGCCCTTATATTTTAAAAGGAAAACACCAACAAGGCCACCAACATCAAAAGTGCTACGATCCAGAGGGGTTTGCTATCCAATGAGCCAGATAGTCCAACTCAAGACAGCCTATTGCACCCAGACTCAGAGTGAGAAGTCCTCTGGCATCAGAAGAGCATTGCTTTAACATCTTTACCACAATTATACAAATAACAGATCCTTTATTCCAGCAGCAACTAGAACGGTTAGTCTAATCTTCCCCAAACTAATCTCCTCCCGTAGGTGTCTTAGGACTGGAATTCCGAATCAGCGTGATTGACAGAATCTCAGCACATCCCAAGAACCTCAAACAGAGACAAGATTGTCCAGTGAGACAAGCATATATAAGTCCTATTCTCCCGCGCCCCACCCAGCTAGTGACATAAAATCAGTACCATCTCCACACACATCTCTTTTCTCAGTCATCATCTCCAAAGGTTTTTTATTTAAAATATACTATTTTTTTTCCTTTAAAAGCTACAAAACAGGCAACAGATCCTGTAGTGTGGGCGGGGGGGGGGGGTGTCACTTAGTTTCCACTAAGAATGGCTGATTTCAGGTGAGAGACATTCAAAATCTCAGGCCAGGATCCCTTTTCTCTATTGCGTTTTAACCATCTTGTATTCTTGTTTTAATCCTGTATCTTTGAGAGTGCAACAGTAGTGTGTCCCCTGAGAACAGCAGACCCCCAAATATATTCTGCAACTGTGCACGCTTTTTCTGAATCCCGGTGCAAGGGCAATCATGACTTGTGTAAGCTCAGAGGCCCCTCCACTTTGAAATGTTAACTTTGGTAGGAAGGCATCAGAACAGCCAGATTGATGCAACATCCAGTCATGATGGTTTTCCATATTCATCACACTGATGATATAAAAAAACACACCCTGAAAGAAGCTTTAATATTCAGGGAACAGCTGGGTGTGGTTGGGGAAAAAACATTTTTATGGGAAATGCTTGGACAAAATAAATATTCAAGGCTATCAAGTCATAAATCATCTACCTGTATCCTGGAGAATCCCAGTGGTATTGAGACTACATTTCCCAGAATTCCCATGTACAGGATGGGAAACATTCTCATAAAAGTTGGTCCAACTTAATTGTTTGAATAGCTGGAATTCAAAAAGCTTTTCTACTACTTATTGACTTCTCTTCAGGCTGTCTAACAGTCTAACACTGTTCTAGCTATGTTTTTTTTTTAATTTTTGCTTTGAGTTTGCAAAGCAACTTTGGATTTTTAAAAAAAGAATTTGCATTATTAAAATAAATACCCAATACTGGAGAAACTCTCCCACATAATTCCTTTGCACATTGAAGGAGAAGGCAAAAAAAGAAAAGAGATGTGCTCATAGAATCCTACCATCCCTGTACCTTTACCATCTCTTACTGCTTCTATAACTAGACTAACAGACAAAACAAGTCACAACATATTTGTTATAAAATCATGAGGTATAACAACCAACAATTTGCACTTTACTCAGGCAGCCTGTCTCGCACCCTTAATTACCATTCTGGTAGAAATAGTTTGGTAAAAAGAATTTTAGCCATTGTTCCCATCTTCATATACTTCAGTTCATCGACCATGGAGAAAAAAAGATCAATTTCCTCATCCTTTAATTCTACTTAATGGGAAGCCTCTTCGGGTAGCATGAGTCAAGATTTCTGCAGAGTCGGGTTACCCGGAGGGTGGCGCTGCTTTAGGATGCGAGCTGCTCCTTTTTAGTCTTGTCTTTACTGAAGTTGTTTGTGGGATCTCTCCAAACCAGCAGGTGGCAGTATTGAATCTATCATGCATCTCCATTGTAAATTGGATCAAATTGCCTTTTGTGCTGGAAAAAAGTCCAGGGGCATTTTATGTCCCCTTGTAAACGGCTGTTTTTTTTTTTTAATCTTTCAACAAATTCTATCTCGATCCCAATATTGCTTAGCTCATTTTTCCATTTTAGCTGGCAGTTTGTTATTGTTCACTCTTATTCTACACTGAATTAGTGTGGATTAAAATTAAAAGTGCACAATTCACCAGAGGTCTTGTTCATTTGGATCAGGTTCCAGCCATTCAATAATTCTGGTACATTGTGCTCAGAGGCCAACCTTTAGTGAAACAGAACCTGTTTTCTAAACTTCCCAGCCCTTTCTTGACAATAATCTATATGAAACAGCCGCTTTGATAAAATGAAAGGTTTGTTGGGGCCACTTTGAATTCCGCAAGGGAAGAAAAATGGGATATAAATATGCCAGATAAATAAAATAGATTTCAGTGATTCCTGTCAGGAGACAAGGAAGCAATGTTAGAGGGCGAAAAACAGCATCATCTGGAAAACGTGGCAGGGCCAGTGGTCCACTTCAAAATGCAGATCATGATATATAAATGTCCTCTGGATCTACCCAATTTGAAGCCAATATAATGATTTGGGGGTATCACTATTTCCCCCCTATTTTTGAAAAAAAAAAAAAGGTAACATTTCAACAGGTATTTTTTTATATTTTATCATTGGGATTTATTTTTTTTTCATTTTGTGCAGAGATTTCATTCTCCCACCCAAAAAAGGAGGTCACAGCCCAAATAGAAAAACCGAGATCCAGAGGGCTCTTTCTTAGCACGTCCCAAGGCATTTGTGATTCCTCACTGGGACTTTTGCTCTCATCAAATCCTCTGAGTGGGAGATACCATCAGCTCTGGCACAAAAGAGAGATTGATGCTTGTGAAATAAAAACCCAAAGCCCCTTTAATGTTCTGGAAGTAGTTGCTTTTTTGTTTTGTTCCCATGAAATGTATTTGGGAATGGTTTTTGGACAAAAAACTCTTATCTGAAGCCTCATCATCTCTCTAACATAAACTCCTGACTGTGAGAATAGTTTTTTTTAAATAAAATAAAATAAAGACTTTTATCAAACTGATTATGGGCTGGTTGGCAAATCCAAAACTTTCTATTGAGATGGAAGTGGACTAATGCCAAGTTGCATCTAGATTTGTAGTTCTTATGTTGGGATATACATCTTACACCTCTTTCCATCAGTGCTGAATGTATAAAAGCAGGTGAAACGTCTTAGCGGTTCCAACTGTACTTTCAACATGTGCCTGACTGCAATATCATGCATGCCGTTCTTAGGGTCACATCATATAGTGGTCTGAACCACTATAAAAATACTGAAGCTGTTTAGAAATCCCTAGTACCTTAACTTCACTACACAGGAACAGAGTTGATTTGATTTCTATCTATCTATTTATTTATCTATTTATTGTTCCAGTCTTTCAGACTGACGGTACCATTTCTAAACTAGGTGAGATGTCTCCAGATGTGGCAGTGTCTGATCCTTGTTCTTTTACACCACAGGATTATTATACAGACCTTTCCATGGATAAATAAGGCATCCACTTGCCTGTTTGCTGCCAAAAGATGCCAGGTGTATTCCTATAACTAGTATTACTTGCTAAGGAAGCCAGGACACTCTTCAGTGTAGACCACAGCTTGAAGCTGGCAATGAAATATTTTCCAGAAGCTGCTTGGCTAAGATGAAACACAATTCAAGATCTTACAAGCACAGACCGTTTGGAGGGTCAGCAATCAAGACACTGGAAAAGACAAAAACAAGTCCAAGTGATCAAGCCAAAGAGATGATACAAGCAGATATCCAGAGTGGTCTAAGGTCGAGGTAGGAAAGTTCAGAGGCCCCAGAAACTGGGTTTATGGCAAGCTTGGGGGCTGTAGAGCAATTGTCTGGAGCACTGGGGATTATTCAAACGATGCTTCTATGCTTTAAAGAAGAGGGTATCTATACTGGCAGAGTTGTCAACTATCTAGGAAAATGTGCAAGGATCCCTGGATAAGTAAAACTTCAGTCTCAAGAACGCAGTTGGTCTTCAAAGGACTCTTCTTGGTTTAGGACCCGAAAGAAGAGTGGACTCTTGCTCTTCATTGACACCAGCTGCTCTTTCTGCGGCAGGACTTCTTGAACCAGGAACACCTTCTAGGGACGATTGTACTTTCTTCAGGCACTTCGTGGACTCATTTTCTGCCACTTCTTCAAAGGAGAGTCCCTTCAAGAGAAGCCTGTCATTGGTTGCACAAAATCTTTTCTGCCTCCCTTGCTTATATTTTAAATAATTGTTGTGCTAAGTGGTATCCTTTAGAAGAACTGTCACCATGGCTCCTCAAATCTCAGAGTCATAATTTGAGGGAGGCACAATCCCGCTAGTCACTAAAAATTGTATTTTAGAGGGCAACTTGTGCTGATTCAATGAGACAAACTATCAAAAGGCTTCTGCAAAACAGACGACCGAGTGATTGAGTACGTTTTATCATTAGAGGCAAACTTTGAGTTAGTCCTGCTTTTGCATTTTTTAAAAAATCCTTTGTGAATTGCATTTATTCAAACTCAGATTCAGGATGCAGTGAAACCAGGCAACATTTGTTGGTTTAGAGGGGAATGCCAGATGACACATTTTTTGTCTTTTTGCCAAGAAAAGACTTTCTAAAATGAACAAGACAGCATGTCTCAGGTGTGAACTCAAAACCAATATATTGCTTATTCTGGAAAATGTCACAACAGTCCATACATGAAGAGAGCAACAGAACAACATGGCGTTCAAGAAGAACAAGGCCAAGGTAACATCATCAACTCCCTTCTTTGAAACCTGTAGATGGGTTTGGTCTGTTGAAATTGTAGGGGCAAATTGATGGCTACAGAAATTCCATATCCAAAAATCGCTGCACGTTCATGTTGCTGAAATAGGTTACTAATATATTTACATATGCTTTTTTGAAGGGTGTAACAGCATCCCATCAACACATACTCTGGAAACTTGTCATCCTTGTAAGGGAAAAAATAATTGCTATTACTTTTATTTCCCCTTCATTTCCTTCTTGAGAACTTCCCTTGTGTTTCATCCTAGCTGGAGTTACAGAAGAATCCATGTTTATTTTATTTATATAATACACCTAAGAAGTAAAACAGTTCCTTGGCCTTCAGTTAAAATCAAATGTGGATAGCTAAAGTGAGTCCTTTGCCAACCATAGCATTTCAATTTAAGAGCCACTTCCAAGGCTGTCTAATATTCAGAAACTAACCAGTAACTTTCAGGCTGCTGCCTCTTCGATACTCAATCCGTCAGCTTTTACTGTTCCTACAGTCCATGGGAAATTTTAAAAAAATAACAGAAACAATAAATAAATCGTGATTTTCAGTAGTATCTCCCCTGAGTATTTGCAACAAATTTTAGTAGGCACCTTCATGAAAAGCTTCTGTAATTCTCAATTTTGCTACGGGAACTGGCCATTACCAAGAGACCAGATTGCTACATAGAACACATATTCATACAACTAACAATCCAGCCTATGCAGGTTTACACAGAAGCAAATTCCATCAAATGTTCGATTATTTTGTTTAACAAATTAGTTGGTTTAGGATTGCAGCCAGATTGGGTTAAACTGAAAACAGTTAATAAATGGAGAGACTCCATACTCATCCTTTTGAGAAATCCTATGAACTTTTGAAGGACTTCTACGTTGGCCCAGTACGTATCTTCTTGTTACGTTTCATCTTCTGTTTGAAAATTGGTTGGTTTGATATCTTGTCTTTTGGGCTGCAGACACAGTGAGGACAAAACTGAACAAAAGGCCCATTTTAGTAAGAGTATCCTTTGCATATGCCTTGCTAAAGTAGCATCAAAGATCCAGTATCTAAAACAGGAGTGTCTGAAAGGAGGAGACACAATTAAATTCCTCTAAGCATGACAAAGCAAAACGTGAGTCTTGGTATTCTTTGAACTTAACAGTCAAATGCACCCTTTGGAGATCTTTCTTCTTCCGCACCTTTGGCAGATCCTCCTATCCTTCTCTAGATACGCAACGCAAACAAAATTGCTTTCTCCGGGATTCCAAACCCAGGATTTAAGCAGGAAGTGAAATGCTGACAGCTCCTGCCAGGTGGGAAGATGGCCGCACTGTATAAATATTGCAGAGGAATCCGTAAGCGCATGGCAAGCTACATAATGTCTGAAAATGCTACATTCCTTTAAAAAAAATGTTAGCGGTGCTGCATTCCATTTTTTTCCCCTTCTTTTGTTTTTGTTTTTTTTAAAGAAACACTAGGAGAACCAGCCAAAGCTTCTTCTCCAGAGATGCCAAAAGAAAACAGGACTGAGAAAGAAAGAAAACTTAACATGCTCTTTTGAAGTGAGTTTAACGGTTGAGATGCTGTCAAAGATGCTTCAAACATGAGAAACAGTTTACTCCTTTTCACAGGTGATTTTCTTTGGGGTGATTTAACAGTCTTGAAACTGGCAGTTTTTTATCGGGTTGTTGTTTTTTTCCCCTTAATACGTGTTTCTTTTCTTTCCCTTTCAATTCCTCCCCCATCGCCTTCTGGATCTCTCCTATTTTGTCCACCCAGAGAGGGAGGGTCAGACATGTTTAAAGTCACTGGAACAGTTTTCTCTTCTTGGAGGAGGAGGAAGAGAAGAAGAAGAAGAAGAAGAAAGGGTGACGGGAGGAAAAAACATGGAATATTTACAAACCATGCTACCGGAAGCCGTGGTAGAACAAGGCATTCTCTGTTGCTGCGTTGTCTTCTTTAAGGACAAGAAGGGCTTATTGAACTCTCCAGTGAAGACTGAGAAAGGCGACGAGTAAGGGGTCCAATGGTGGAGTCTGCCAATGAGGAAGTGGGAAAGAGCTTATACCAACCTGTCACTACACTGGACAGGTCCAGCTCATCTAGGACAATCTGAGCCATCCCCATGAAGCACTTGTGGTCCATGCGACCATAATCTCCCCAGACAATCACCTAAAGGGAAGAAGGAGGATGGGCTGAATTACCAAGAGAATCCAAGAAAGGAGAATCAGAAGAGTAGAAGATCTTCAAAGAGTCAGGTAGAAAGGAGAAGGCCTTTACTAACACTCCCATCATTAATCCTTGGGGGTGTTTCTGTTTCTGGCTAACCTCCTGGTTCTTCATACTATTATCATAAATCATTAACAGCATAGTCCTACTTATATTGACTCTAAACCTGTCTTTCCTTGGGTTCCAGACTTATTCTTAGGTAAGGTAGGATTGGTCTATTTTGCAACTCAAAGATATTTCTTTAAACTGGTCAGCATGAACCTTGCAGTCTTTAAAAAGTGAGTTTTGCATTCTGTCAATCATTTACTATCCTGGAAATGGGAAAATATATGCTCTTGCTTAACTGATGGGAATCCCAGTTTTTACATTAGGAGATATTAAAATGCCTTTTGACTGATAGTGCTAGGAGCTATTTACAAATGCCCAATGACTCGAAAAAACCCTAACATGCTTTTTCCATTTAGTTAAGGATTTAGTGAATGCATCCACATAATCTCACAAAGTTCAGTTAGTTGTAACATTCCCCACCTCCACCCTCACCTCAGTATCAGTTTTTAGTCAGTGTCCAAAACCAGAAGAAGGATCATTTCAGTTGGTCAACTGAGAAGCACTCTAGTCCTGGTATCCTTTTAATATTACCTTACAACTATCCAACAGTGGGAGTTATTTGCTCTCCTCTGAAATCTAGAATCAGATCTGAAATTCTTGGCTTTCCCTAACTGAGTGATAAAGATGAAAAGGGGGAGATAGAAAGTAAACATGAAATAGAATAGAATAACAGAGTTGAAAGGGACCTTGGAGGTCTTCTAGTCCAACCCCCTGCTTAGGCAGGAAACCCTACTCTACTTCAGACAAATGGTTATCCAAACTCTTCTTAAAAACTTCCAGTATTGAAGCATTCACAACTTCTGGAGGCAAGTAGTTCCACTGATTAATTGTTCTAACTGTCAGGAAATTTCTCCTTAGTTCTAAGTTGCTTCTCTCCTTGATTAGTTTCCATCCATTGCTTCTTGCTCTACTTTCAGGTGCTTTGGAGAATAAGTTGACCCCCTCTTCTTTGTGGCAGCCCCTCAAATATTGGAACACTGCTATCATGTCTCTCCTAGTCCTTCTTTTCATTAGACTGACATACCCAATTCCAGCAACCATTCTTTCTATATTTTAGCCTCCAGTCCCCTAATCATCTTTGTTGCTCTTCTCTGCACTCTTTCCAGAGTTTCCACATCTTTTTTACATCAAAAACTAAATGCAACTATCCCAAGTGTGGCCTTAACAAGGCCTTATAAAGTGGTATTAACACTTTACGTGATCTCGATTCTATCCCTCTGTTTATACAGCCTAGAACTGTGTTGGCTTTTTTGGCAGCTTCTGCACACTGTTGGCTCATATTTAAATGGTTGTCCACTAGGACTCCAAGATCCCTCTCACAGTTACTATTGAGCAAGGTACCACATACACTGTACCTGTGTGTTTTGTTTTTCTTGCCTAAATGTAGAACCTTACTTTTTTCACCATTGAATTTCATTTTGTTAGATAGCGCCCAGTGTTCAAGTCTGTCAAGATCCTTCTGTATCTTAAGCTTATCTTCTGGAGTGTTGGCTATTCCTGCCAGCTTGGTGTCATCTGCAAATTCGATGAGTTCTCTTTATATCCCCTCATCTAAATCATTGATGAAGATGTTGAAGAGTACTGGGCCTAAAGCACAGCCTTGGGGTACCCCACTACATACTCCCCCCCCTCCCCCCATGTAGATGCAGTTCCATTGAGGACTACAGATTGAGTGTAGTTGGTCAGCCAGTTATGAATCCATCTGGTGGTGATGCTGTCTAACCCACATTTTTCTACTTTATCAAGGTTATGGACTACTTTTATCAAAAGCCTTACTGAAGTCCAAGTAAATTATATCAACAGCATTCCTCTGGCCCACTAATTTTGTCACTTTGCCAAAGAATGCAATAAGGTTAGTCTGGCATGATCTGTTTTTGACAAGCTCATGACAAAGTATAACATAAATTGCTCTTTCAACTAAAAATGAGTCAATAATTTTAGCTCCGGTGCCATTAATAACTCATCATTTATGGAAAGTTGCCTTTTATTTATTGTATTTATTTAATAATCAAATTTGCATGGCCACTCATCTCACATAAAGTGACTTTGGGCACCATACAACCAACCCTATGAAATCCCATTGCTCAAAATAAAAATCTTGCTTATACCAAGATCCCCAGTAAGATTTCAGGGAAATATTTTTCTGATTCTCCATCAAACTACTATTTCTTTCTTCAGGAATGTGAAACCTGTGTTTTTCCATGTTTAGCATTGAACAATACCTCCCTTGATTTCTGGAAGACTTCCTTAGCAGTATCTGAAAAGCCATTTGTTCCTCACTTTTAACTCCTGAATTGAATTTTAAACTCAGCATCTTCCTGAAGCCAAATATCTCCATTTTTATCTAAATTGGGACCTCATAAAAAACTAGATTTTAAAGTCAATAGTTGAGGCAATTCATGATAATCCTCTTCTTCAGTTTCAAGTATCTTCATAGCATTCAATCTCCCTACTGGGGCCTCAGAACCTCTCATGGGAACCTTACAAGTTCCCCAGCTGAAAGCAGCTAAGACCTTATTTCTGATGTGGACACCAGAGACCCTTTCAGAGGACCACCCAACAGGAATCTGTAGCCATACAGATTGTCTACTTAATAGCTACCAGAATCACTTTCCCATAAAGGCCACAGAGAAACTGACTAGAATTTCTACTGGACCTATATATGTTGCCTGTCTAAAATCTAGTAGGAGGTTCTCTCCCAAGGGGACACCGGAGAACTGCTGTGAGGGCATCTCAGTAGGCCTGTGGCTGAATTATGGCTCTAAAATGCATATGGGCAGAAGGGGGATCCTCTTACCCTTCAAAGAGGAGGAAAGCATTCACCTGTAGCATTTTACCCTGAGGGCCCTCGTCAAACAGAAGGGCCTGCTGGTAGAGTGGGTCATAGTTCTTCTTGACAGCCTTTGTTTTCTTCTTAGCCAAGCAAGCCCCATTTTCCAGCAGATACACTTTAACATACGTAGCTGTATTGGCAGAGAGAGGGAAATAAAAGCAGGCAGCTTAATAATAGCTATTCCACCCCAGGCTGGGATGTTTTCAATGTTCTACCAGATGCATCTGTAGAAGTATATTTGCGCATTCCTGTGGGCGATGGCAAACCTGCTTTACCAATAAAGGAGAATATTGTAGCTCAGGATTGAAATGAGGAGTCGCATTTAAACTGTGAGCTACAGAGCTGGTGCTCTCCGAGCTGGGTTGTTTTCTTGCAGATGTTTCATTATTTGACTAGATAACATCATAAGTGCTTGTTATTGAAGATGTTATCTAGTTTGGGTAATGAAACGTCCATAAGAAAACAACCAAGCTCAGGTCCCCTCAAGGATGCTTTCATGCTTGCAATAACATTTTTGGCTGGCAAAACCCTCTGCAGGTAGTCCTCAACTTATAACTGGTTGCTTAGCAATCATTCTAAGTTACCACAGACCCAGTTTCAAAATTCTGATGTTGGGCCTCCCTTGTAGTCATGTGACTTCACTTGGGGTACTTGGCCATTTGCAGCACCCCTTGGTCACATGATTGCGATTTACAATGATTTCACCAGAAATTGGTCTTTGCTTCTGGTTTTTGGCCAAAAAAAAAAAAAAAAGCCCCATAATAAGCAATGGGTTTTGCTTAATGACCATGGTGTCACCATTGCAAAAAAAGGTCATAAAACTGGGCTTGGTAACACGGCAACCTGTTTTATGACTCTCCTGGTTTATAATTGTAATTGCTAGATTCAATTTCGGATCCTTCTCAAGGACTGCTACCTGCATGTGCCAAGAAACTCAAATCCAATTTATTTGATTTAAGTGGAAGTTCTCAATCCTAGGCCACAGATATTTTATAAATAAAGAATGTGATTAAGTACATTTTAATGGAATTGCCTATTATATTAAAGGCTGAGTTAATCCAGCAACCCAGATTCAACATAGTACAGCTATACCTATAGCTGTGTATGGGGATTCTACCCAGGAAACAGGAATACAACACTTAACAGGGTACACAAAGATACAAACATTTCCATTTATTGTAGAAAAGCCTGCAAATCATTAGGGAAGGATTTCAATTACTTCCGTGCATTAAAATGGGATTTCCAGGAGTTCAATTCTGGGTGGCTCCAGGCTGGCTCAGCCTATCATCCTTCCGAGGTCAATAAAATGAGGACCCAGATTATTGGAGGTTCTGTAAACCATTTTTTGAGGGCCGTAAAGCACTGTGAAGTAGTATATAACCCTAAGTGCTATTGCTATTGAGATCTTAAAATCTTCAAATTACTTTGCCACTTCCTCCTGCCAGCTCTGTGTAAAGGACTAGAAGTGAAGGGAAGGAATTTTCAGTCTACTTTGAGTAACAACCAGATCCAGTTTGGGTAACCAAAGCAGCCGGCTGCCTGCTTTTGACTGGGTGAGAATTTTGCTGTCACAGTAAAAAATATTTAGCTTCCCAGTTTTTAAAAAATTTGAATTGACTTCAAAACATACTAATTTGCTTAGACGTTTCTTGGTTGATTGGCTGAATGTACATCTGCGGTATTTTAAAGAACAGACATAAACTAGATGAACGACTTTCTGTAAATACCAAGAATTGTTCCAGACAGCTTTTCATCTTATCTCTACTCAGTCTTATCTGGGAAGGAATTACTTACAAGGAAAAGATTTAGCTGCTACTTTGGGTGTGAGGTCTCGAGCTTCTATCACTTCCACTTCTAGTTGTCCATTCCGGTCAATCATCGCAATGTGGACATCACCTAGGAAGCAGCAGCGGTAAAGTCAGCATGGACACAACTCAAGAACTTTGTGCTGTCCACAAGTGATTGTGCAAAATTAAGAGAGAGAAAAACAGTGTGAAAGGGGGAAAAAGTATCCTTTATTTTTAAGAAGTCCCAAAACAGTTGGTGTGCATTCTTCTTTAATAAGCTGTTAGATTAATATTATTCCTCTGAGAAAAATGTCTTCCTTCAAAATTCAACATGTTTTTTTGGGGGGGATGTAATAAAGAATAATAAAGAATAGCTTTTTGCCCTTCACACTTGTCCCATTTCCATGTGTGACTGTGGTGTTTTGGCTCATCTTAACGTTTTGTGGTAGCTCTATATTAGGAGACCTTTTTAAATTATGGAAACCATGGAATTGTGACTGAGCTGTTAAGTGTTCTCCAAAAACTGCTGAATCATACCTTCCAGGAAATCTAAGGAACACGGCCAAGGGTAAGAGAAATGGAAAGCGTATAAATTTAACCCATAAATAAAAATAAATAAATAAATAAATTCAGCAGCACCAGGGGAATCACAGATTCTTTATCCATGAGTTTTTACCAAAATGAATTACACTCTCCTTAAATCAACATGGAAAATTAATTACAACTTACCTTGATCTATTCACATGTTAAGATAAAAGAAGCCTGAATTAAAAATAGTCCTAGAATATTGTGTACATCCTAAAGCAACTTTAACAACTTGAGTCCCACTCCCCTTCTGAAATTTGCAGACAGCTAAACCTGATTCATGTCAAATTTGCATACATACATACACACATACATATATGCACTCTACATAGTCCCTCACAAAACATGGACCCAGGGAGACTGTTAATTAAGAAAGATCCAAATGAGACCCTCCTCCATCAAATAACCCTGAACCTCAAAAGGGCTGAGATGGTCACCAAAGGTTCACTCACCCATTGGTGGAGTAGCCAGTGTTTGTCGCCCTACAATTTGCGCTGGTCCAAGACCATCTAGGAAGTCGCTGAACTGGCTTTCAACTCCCAGCTTGGTTGTGGGAAAAATGAATCTGAAGGAAAGGATAAGAAATACGGTTTGTGAGAAAAAGAAGACATAGCTTGAAAGAACATGCAGAAAAAAAGATGCATCCTTCTCCTCCTGCATTTTATTCCATATTATTTATACCTTCTTCCTACCTTCACATGAGATGGGACAATAAAGCAACTGAAAGACATTTCAGTTTTTGGGGGGCTCCTATCTATGAACTAATATTAGCAGGACATTTTCCTTTTAAAACAAGTGTAACACTTGTTTTTTATATTCTCTGTGCAATGTCTACTCTTTGTTCAATGATTGTGTTAATGAATAGCAGGACTTACGTGCCATCGGAGCTGTTGCTGTTAGTACTTCCATCAGTTGATTCCCGACTGCCTTGACGGGTAACCCTGTTTCTCATCTCCACTGCAATCCCAGTTTCTGTGCTGCGACGAATGTTACTTCGGAGTTTCTTTAAACCACCATCTGGGAGAGGGAAACCACAAATAGAGTGTCAAGCAGGCCAGGGACATCATCTCACAGCCAGGAAAGGATAGGACTTGTCCTACAACACATTCAGGGAGATCCATGCTGATGCTGGTTAAGTTTTTTTCTGCTTACCCCTAGCCTTTGGATGGACGCAAAGGGCCCCAGTCTTCTGCATTCTCAAATGAAAGCAATCCCTTTTGAGTGAACCAGAAGTGCTGATTTGCCTCTCCTCCTCCTTCTTTCTTTGGAAAGCCATCAGAGATTGAATCTGAACAGTTGCCTGGGCAGTTAGGTCTGCTTTTAAGGGTTAGTATGCACAGACAGTGTTATGGAATATCTGCAAAGCCCGTGTTCTACCAAGGGACAATTCCAAAAGTCTTCTGCCTTCTGTTTGCAAGCAAACAATGAAGCAAGGATGAGTAGTCACTACCACAAGTTTCTCCCTCTGGGAGCCTGAGCAGATTAGACCCAGAAGGAGTGAAAAGCAAATACTCTTGACAGAAATAGTGGCAAGTTAGGGGGAATGGCTGCCCCTGGGAGCAGGACCCATAAGAACATCTCACCCCCTGGGCTCCCCAAATCCAGGGACCAGCGCTGATGGTCTCTGCAGGCTTCCATATAACCCTTTTTTAATGCTTTTGTTCGTGATCTGATGAAAAACTTGTAATTGTTTTTTGTTTGGACAGACATCCACTTCAGTGAAATATAAATGCAATAGGTGTATAAGTCAGGATATTTAGAATAAAGAACATAACATAACAGGGTTGGAAGGGACTTGGGGATCTTTTAGTCCAACCCCTTGTTCAAGCAGGAGACACTGTACTGTTCCATACAAATGGTTGTACAGTCTCTTGAAATCCTCCAGTGATGGAGAAACCACAACTTCTGGAGGTAAGCCATTCTTCTCTGACAGGAAATCTCTCCATAATTCTAAACTGAATCTTTTTTTTAATGATCTTCATCCCAATATTTCTTGTCCTGACCTCAGATACTTTGGAGAACAGGTAAAACCTCTTTTGTTGGTGACAGCTCCTCAAATATTGGAAGACAATTACCATGTCACCCACTAGTCCTTCTCTGCCTTAGGCTAGACATATATCAATTGTTCATCACATGATTTAGCCTCCAGACCTGTTGAGATGCTAGAAAGCGTACAGACAAAAGCAACAAAGATGATAGTCAGTCAATCAGTTGGTTGCAAATACATTAGAGGACTTCCATTCTAGAACAAAGTTTTAAATGGCCATACTCTGACTATGGTATTTCTGCAAGCTCACCTAGGTCATTTACAACCCTAACAGCCTCATTTGGACAATATACTAAGTTTGATTAATTTTAACCTTGGTTAGGGCTTTTTTGCAGTTTAGAATGTCCCTGAATTCAATCTGTGTGGTTAGCCTGGTATTAAACATAGCAAGATAACAGTTTCTGTTGATTCCAAAGTCCTCCAATTCTAGAAAACTTCCAACTTTGTCTCTGCATGAAGATGCACTCCCAAATAAAGACCAGATTTGCAAACTGGCAATCTCCTGGACTCATATCTCTTGATAGATGGCCAGGAAAGCTTTCCTCTGACTTTGGCTAATGTTTCAGGTGTTTCCTGCATCAGGTGGTTTTATTCATGTTTATTCAAGTGTTTATTACCTCACAACCAGGCTACTGAAATTCACTGTGCACGGGCTCATCGTAAAGACCATTCAGAAGCTACGGTTGTCTACATGGTAATAATTCAATCCTGATTTTTCCTTATAACTCCACTTCTGAGAGAGTGGCACTATTTGCCAGCTGGCTTCCAGGTACAATTCAATGCATCATTAATGGCTTATTATGTGACACGAATAGGTCCTGGGTATCTGTAAGACCATCTCTTCCACATAAAATCTAACCATCTGAGAAGAACCAACAGAAAGCCCTTACAGGTGTCTTTCCATCAGGAATGATGAGGACAGAAAGACAAGAGATGAGCCAATTGTTGTTTTAAACCCAGAAAGTCATTAATCCAGGAACCAGGTAGTTTGGGTTGTATATTACAATCCATTTATTATAAGAGATGTTTGAAAAAAGAACTTTCTGACCCTGTAGAGGGAACAGACTTTGCCATAAAAAAGCAACAGATGTCAATCATCGTTATCATCCGTATGCTACAGCTTGAGGTAAGGTACAGCAAAGTGGCAACTTACTCAGGTTGCATAATTAGCAAATTCAAATGTATCCAAGGAAAACAAAATGTGGATCTGTCCTACGATCGAGCAAAGTTGCAATTCTTTGTGACCATGAATCAGAATGAAACAGGTCACATACTGCCTGCCTCCTGCTAGAGAAGGTACTGTACCTGACACCCCCAAGTAGACCCATCTTGCTCACCCCCAAAACAATATCACTCCAAAGCCTATTGACTGAGTTTTTAAGGTTCACATGTGCTCCTCCTGGCTCACAGATCACTGTCTTCACACAGTGGTGCCTGCAGAAAACTACCACCTGATTTTTTCGTATGCCTATTGAGGGAGGAGGAAGAACGTTCTTCAGGGCACTGACATAAATGTGACTGCTCCTGATTGTTGCTGTCAGGTTGCTTTATAAAATACAGGGTGTGTTGCTGTAAAGGCTGGCATTTGTCATTGGCAAAGCCACCATTCTCAGGCCAGACAGAATATTACATAAACATGGAACAGGTATCTCCGACTCCCAAGGCCAAGAAAAGAACAGCTAAAAGTCTACTGAATAAAGAGTGGGAGAAAAGGATTAGGAGTTAAACCCTGGTGCTGACATCCAGCCACCCACCACTTGCATGTAGCTTAATTCCTACTTGGTATGGGACACCCATCCAAAGCAACTGATTTATCAGCATTTAGCTCCCTGATGCACATTTAATTTTCTGGTGGGTAGTCCGACATGCCCAAAACAACTTGATCGTCCCCTACAAAGAGCCAACTTCAGAATTCGCAACAATGAATTCAGAGCAGTAAATTTGCCCCTCCTCGAGGCTTTCTCCTGCTCCTCGGTCTAATTTGCAGAGCTGCACAGAAACTAATATTCTCCTGATCGGATAGGAAAGGAAACAACCCCTTCATGCTTTAGTTTTATTGTTCAGATACCAAGCTTTAGACATGATCTTTTCCTCTGGCAAAGGTGATGGGAATCCCAGTTGGTCAATCCCCTTAATGGTATGTGAGAATGACCTTGGGATACAGGAGGAAGAGCCGAACCTCAGGATCAATCAGATAAGAGGCAGCTGAGCCCACAGAAAAAAATGAGGGTGGAGCAAATGCCTCAGGAGGGACCCTCATTAGTTTCTTGAAATGTAAAGATGATGGTGGAGAGAGATATTTTCAGACTTGCAAGATTTTGTATCTCAACCTTGGTAACTTGAAGAGTTATGGACTTGAATAAGTGTGGAAAACATGCTGGCTATGGAATTCTGGGACTTGAAGTCCCACTTCTTCAAGTCACCAAGTTCAGAAATACTGACATAACCTTACAATTAAGATAAAATTAGTACTTCTAGGTGCTTTTGCTCTGAGCTACAGTATCTCGCCTGACAATTCCCCTCAAAGCATACTTTACTCTGTAGAACAAGGGTTAGGAGAAGAATGGAAAAACGGACACCAGCATTTGATATAAAAGCAGTGCCTTTTCACTGCATGCTCCAAAGGCATTTCTGGTCCCCATGCCATCCCAATTCCCTGAGATGAACCAACGTTCCAAAAAAAGACTACATTAAAAAAAAAACTAACAATAACATACTTCCATTGGCCTCTAGAACAAGTGCAATGCAAGGCATGGCATGAGCTGTGCATTCAATTCAGAACTTATTTTTGAAATATTAACTCAGTTTCTGAGGTTACAATTTACATCAAGTGGGGAGCCTTGAACTAAGGGGGTCTTTTCCAAGTCATCAAATCCACCCTTTGCAGCAGCAGAAATAATGGCTAATTTTTAGGCAGGAGAAAATTGCCAAATGAAATTACATCTTGCCAGATGCTCACTAGGTGGCTCTAAGAATCATTCCATTAATCACAGGGTTCGATATCAAACAAATTCCACATGAGACTATTTCATGCAAACAATTGTATTAAATAGACACACGCACACACACACACACACACAAAAGACTTCATAAACGTAGAAGGAAGTCTCCAGAACTGAAGATTTTAATGATAGCCAATTTGCTGACATGAATCTACAACTGCAAAAGGTGTGCAAAGTGTAAAAAGCCAGATATCTGACATATCTGCCACATTCTGCCTCCAAACTTTAATGCTGCAAGAACTAGAAGCACATAATAGCTTGTAAAATGTCTGGAATTGCTTAGGTGAAATGGGCAGTATAGAAAGGTGATAAATAAAATCTGATTTTGCCATTTTTTTAAAAAAAAAAATGCTCTTTTTAAGATTCTCCTGTGATAACTTGGAGAGCCAGTTTGGCTTCAGCTTGCATTAAAATCCAATATTTTAAGAAGCAATGATCTATCCAATGATATTTAACTCATCCCACAATGTATTTCGAGAGCCAGTTCGTGTAATGGTTAAGGCATCAGGATAGACACCGGAAGGTGGCAGTTGTAATCCCACCTTGGATACAAAGCCAGCTGGGTGAACTTATCCCTTTTTCTCAACCCTGGGAAGGAGGCAGTGGCAAACCACTTCTGGAATCTTGCCAAGAAAACTGCAGAGACCTGTCCAGACAGTCATCAGGAGTCAAAAACTGACTTGAAGGCGCATATACATTTCCTCTTTAGGATTACAGCAATTTTAAAAATAGATAAATTAGAACCATCAATTATCTAGAACTCAAGTGTGCATTGCTACCGTTCCTTCCCAACCAATACATTATCTCAAGCAGTGGGTCCTATGGTTTGCGAGAGCATAATCTTGTCAATCTTCCACAATTGAAGCACCCATTCCATGATTGTTGACATACTTGTAACACCAACAAACCTACTCTGAGATTTACACTCCATATTTGGCCGATTTGGCCAGTTGGATTGATTCCCCATG